CAACCCAGGGCCCCTCTGTTGTTGCATGGCCAGCTTCCACCTTTTTTTAATGGCTAGGAAGTGCTCCATTCTGTCCTCACACACCATCTTTACCCACTCATCTGTTGTTGGACACTTAGGTTATTTCCACAGTTTTGTTATTGTAAGTAGTGCTTCAGTGAACCTAGGCGTGCATATATCCTTTGGAATTAGTTTTTTTGGATAGAAAGCTGGGAGTAGAATTGCTGAGTCATATGGTGGATATATTTTTATGTCTTGAGAAAGCTCCATGTTATTTTACATGGGTACTGGATCAGTCTATATTTCCACCAACAGTGTACAAATGTTCTTTTTTCTCCATACCACCATCATCACGAATTGTGTCTAGTCCTTTTGCTATGAACCCTTCTCACAGGAGTGAGGTAGTATCTTAATTGTGGCTTTGATTTATAGTTCTCTGATAATTAGTGATGATGAAACATATCTGAAAAATGTAATTATATTTAACTAAGCTTATTATTGAATATCAGCTATTTATCTACTATAAATAATAAATGTAACTTTTCTAGTATTTTTGTATTTTATTTCTATTTGTTGATGTATTTTATATTTATATGTATCCATGTCTTATTGGCTTTGTAAGGCAAAATGAATTACCAGTTATTAGGCCGATGAGAACCACAGGGAATCTGTGTGTGCATTAGGCTAGGCCTTCAACACTTGACCAGATGGTTTTCAGCTCTGCCTGAGCTTTCACATCTTGCTTATGTCTATCTTTAAGAGAAATCAGAGGTGAGAGTTTAAGACTTTCTCAAGTCTTTCCTGAGAATGTCTACAACCCTACCCATGTGTGTGATTATAGATTGGCAGGAATATATTGGAATTTTTCAGAGACCTTATATGGACTCTCATTGCCACATTTTGCTTTTAAGGTTATGTATTAGTCTATTGTTTACTCCAGATGTTACCATTTTAGGTGATAGTACTGTTAGACAATTTACCTTGGTTGTTTTTGATGAATATCCCCAGGGAAAAGACCATTTGCACTGAGCAAGCTTTGGGTCAGATCAAATAAAGACAGTTTTGTAAGTAGGGTTTTCCAAGAGTCACCAGACAGTTCTAATAATGACAGTTCTCAGGGAATAAGGCTTTGAAGCCATCATTGACTGTCAGGCTGCCGGTTTTCATTGTAATTGTAGGCTCTTGGTTTTCAAGGGTAGCTTGCTCAAGGAGATAGGAATATGTTAAGTAAAAATGCTACAAAGTTCATTCTTACTGAGTTCAGCATTTTTTTCTTGGGAGGGGGGGACTCTGGATTGTTGTAGGCCTTTGATTTATTTCCAGTCTTGAAAAAAATTCATTGATTCTACTCTGCCAGTGTTCTCATTGTTTTTATGAAGAAGAGGATTCTCAGAGGCCCTCCCTACCACTTTTGCTTGTTTCATCAGCAATTACCAGTTGAGTGAATAAATCATGTCCAGTTATTCCTCACTGGCTATGCTTCTGTAAGAACTGTGGATCATTATGCTTATTAAAGCTGAATTTTAAGAAAATCTAGTTTAACTCTAAAGTGTGTTCTATGGAATTGATTATGTAAATTGTGTAACATTTTAGGTAAATTAAGGAATGCAGTGGGTTAAGAAGCACCTTAATGTAGCCTTTGTATACAGGTATTGACCGGTTTAAGTTTTTTTTTTTTAAAGATTTATTTATTTGTACATACAGAACTGGGGTACAGGCCAGATGCTGAGGGGTGGTGAGAGGCTTCACCAGATACAGTGGGGAGCAGAACAGGCAGATCAAGGAAGTACACTGCTGAGGGGAGCAGCGGGCAGGTCAGGAGAGGTCTGCCTCTCCATGTGGGATCACATCCTGGGCAGGCGGGGATCAAACTCATGCGGAAGTGGCTTTAGCTTCTTTGTGCTGTGCTTTAACCCACTGGGCCACCAGGGAGGGCCCGGTTTAAGTTTTAAGGAAGACTTTTTCCAGGAAGGCAGAAAGGAAAGACATTCTCTTCTTTATTTTCTTCTTGACCTTCTACTTTCCAATTAATTTTTGATACTAAGGAATGTTCACATAAGAATATAAAATTTGTATGGAGAAATAAAAGACCTTTTATAGTGCTTAAACCTTTGTCAAATTCTTTATAGTATTATAAATAAATGAACAGAATTTTTTATTTAAATTGTTCCCTCTTTCATACTATCTTTTCTACATATTTTCAGGCCGTTAATAACTTGCCCAAATTTTGGGTTAAATTGCCTTACTATTGTATGCTATACCATTGATAAGAAATTGTTTTTGTTAAGTTTTAACTAAGAGGTAAGTGTAGTAGAATGATTAAGGGCAAACATTCTAGACTATGACAGGTAGATTGGAATTGTGGCTTTTCCATTTTCTATCTGTGTGATCAAAAGGGGTTTCATAAGCCTTGGTTTCCTTATGTATAGTAAGGATGATTATAGTTTTTATTCTATAGACCTATTATAAATTTAACACATAGCTTTTAGCACAGTACCTGAAACATAAATAGCATTTTGATAGTAAATACTAGCTATTATCGGTACTATAATATCAGTATTAATGATAGCAGAAACTATACTTTATACTAGAAATGTGGCCAGAATTGAGAAAATTCCTACTTTCAGGTAAATCTTTAGAAAACCTGGTGCTTATGTAAAGGTTTTTTCTCCTGGTAGCTTATTGAAACGAATCAGTTACTCAAAGAAAAGCTATTGAATCTCCTGCTACAATAATTTCTTTGTTAATGGCTGCCTTTTTTTTTTTCTCAGCATTGCAGAATGCCTTGAAGATTTTTCATAGGATTAAGGGTGGTCGAGTTGCTACTGATGAAGTAGCTACTGTATTGGAGAGCTTGGCTATCCCTGTAATTCCTAAAATTTTACAGGAAGTGTTAGCTCATGCTCATACTGACCGTGAGTTATTTGAAATGATATATTTGTATTTATCTTTCTTGAATCAAAGTTTTCTGATCCCTTCATCTCCTTTTCCCTGTTGATTCTTTCCTTTTACCATCAACACTGTATACTGATGTCTATTGTAAGAGATAGCCTAGAAAAAATAAAGGAAACATTTGGAAGATTGTTGTATTTTGATATGTTTGGTAAGAATCAAAGAGAAAAATGAATTTTTTCTTTTAAAACTTTCTCCCTCTTTTCCTGGAGTAATGGCTTGACTTTATGGACAGGTAGTTTCTCTGGTGTCAAGGGCACTGGTCCATGAGAACTGAATTTTCATCTTTATCTTGCAACTTTGATTAGAAAATATATTTGTAATGTTTAAGGAAATCTACATCTTGTAAATATATTATTATTATTCCACGATGGAATAAAAAAAAATACCCAACCACAAATGCAAATGAAACTTACAAGTTTTGGGGTCAAAGTAAAGAGATACTAAGATGGGTATATAGAAATATAAGCTTTTCAGCAAACAAGAAAAAGTGCAAATAAATAATCTAACATCACATCTAATTAAACTAGAGAAAGAACAAATGAACACAATATTAGTACAAGGGGGCCCTCCCTGGTGGCACAGCGGGTTAAAGCACAGCACTAAGAAGTTTAAGCCACTTCCGCATGAGTTCGATCCCCGCCTGCCCAGGAGCAGATCCACATGGCGCCTGCCCAGGAGGAGATCCACATGGCGAGGCAGAACTCTTCTGACACGCCTGCTGCTCCCCTCAGCAATGTACTTCGTCAATCTGCCTGTTCTGCTCCCCACTCTGTCCCTGGTGAATCCTCTCACCCTCCGCATCTCTGGCCTGTACCCCAGTTCTGTATGAATAAATAAATAAATCTTTAAAAAACAAAAAACATTAGTACAAGGAAGGAACCCATACAACTCAGAACAAAAATAGAGACCAGATCATCTCCATTATATAGAATGAGACAGTATAAAGATCAATGAAACTAAGAGCTGGTTCTTTGAGAGACTAAACAAAATTTACCTCTTTAATTAGATTTACTGAGGAAAACAGAGATGACTCAAAGTAAGTCAGAAATGAAAGAGGTTACAATGGATGCCATAAAAACAGATCATAAGTTATTACTGTGAACATCTACCTACCAACAAGTTGGATAATCTGGGATAAATAGAGAAATGATTGGAATTGTGCAACTTTCCAAGACTGAATCATGAAGAAACAGAAAATCTAAGCAGACTGACCCATAGGAAGGAAATTGAAACAGGGTTAAGAAACCTCCCTAAGACAGAAGTCCAAAATCAAATTATTACACTGGTAAAGTCCACCAGACATGCAAATATCTAATACTCTCAGATGCTTCCAGAAAATTGAAGGGAAGGAAATGCTTCCTAACTTTTTTTTTTTTTCGCTGCCACTGTTACCCTGATCTTAAAACCAGACAAGTACATCACAAAAAGAGAAGCCTACAGGTCGATATTTCTGATGTACCTCAGTGAAAATATTCTCAACAAAGTATCCTGATTCCTAGCTTTGGGCCTTAAATTTTGGCTAATTCTTTTGATGGAAAGCTCCTGTATTAAGGAGAAAAAATGGTCTTAGCCTTACGTTTTAGTGTGTACTGAATTATTTTATTTTATTTTTTTTATTAAAGATTTATTTGTTCATACAGAGCTGGGGTACAGGCCGGAGATCCAGGGATAGTGAGAGGCTTCACCAGAGACAGGGTGGGGAGAAGAACAGTCAGATCGAGGAAGTACACTGCTGAGGGGAGCAGCGGGCGGGTCAGGAGGGGTCTGCCACGCCATGTGGTCACCTCCGGGGCAGGCGGGAATCGAACTCATGCTGAAGTGGCTTTAGCTTCTTAGTGTTGTGCTTTAACCCGCTGCGCCACCAGGGAGGGCCGTGTACTGAATTATTAATTCACAGTTCCAGGTATTACTCTAGACTCATAATTTTTGGTCCTTTATTCCTACTTTCACACATTTCTGTGTTGTTTATATATTTAAATAGAATGGCAGCTGTATTTGTATTAAAGAGAAAAATGCAGTATTTGAAGTTATTCCTTCTGTTACAGGTAACTTCATGGTGGATATTGGGGATATTATATTTACTTTGGATGAACTACAGCAACAGTATGAGGATGTTTGTAAGTGACCTTTTGTTGCTATAACAAATTTTATCCATAAATAAATTGTCTTTAGTTTAAATCCTAATTATAGGTTTGATTTTATATCAGGTTTAAAAGTCTTCTCTGAACATTTTACTTTAACTCTTAAAAAACCCTAAATATATGGGCCCTCCCTGGTGGCGCAGCAGGTTAAAGCACAGCACAAAGAAGCTTAAGCCACTTCCGCATGAGTTCGCCCCAGAAGAGATCCACATGGGGGGCAGACCTGTCCTGACCCACCCGCTGCTCCCCTCAGCAGTGTACTTCATCGATCTGCCTATTCTGCTCCCCGCTCTGTCTATCGTGAATCCTCTCACCCTCCACATCTCTGGCCTGTACCCCAGTTCTGTACAAATAAATAAATACATCTTTAAAAAAAAAAACCCTAAATATACTTAAAGAATATTGATTACATAATATAATGATCTCATATTTATTTTTTCTGCTTTTATCTTTTCCTTAATATTTGGCAACATAAAATCAATTTTAAAACAAAATAGGGACCCTCCCTGGTGGCACAAAAGGTTAAAGCATAGCATTATAAAGCTATCCATAGCCATTGCAGCACGAGTTTGATACCCAGCCAGGGAGGTGACCCACCTGGCGCAGCAGACCTCTCCTGACCCCCCTGCTGCTCCCCTCAGCAGTGGATTTGAGTATATCTGCCTGTTCTGCTCCCCACTCTGTCTCTGGTGGAACCTGTCACCCCCTACCCCACACCTCTGGTTTGTACCCCAGTTCTGTATGCATAAATAAATAAATCTTCAAAAAAAATAGTAACATAAATAAGATTAGTATTTAATTTATAATTTATGGATCATTATAACATCTTGACTTTGTTTAATGATCTTTTATATGCTCTTTATATCATTTGTTATTTAGTTTTTCTTATTAAGTACATTGTTTTGCTCTCTTCCTATTGAACATTGTCATTCCTTATTCTTTCTCTTTGTCCAAATACTATTTGGTCATGAGTATTTATGTACAGAATATTAAGAGTTATATAGTTCTAGAAGAACAGCTACAATAAAGCAGTCCCTTGCTTATCTTCCCCTCAGCTTTTGCTGAGGCAAATATTTTACATGTTTTAACTGATTATTTGATATATATGTTTATATTTCCACTTGTCAATTTTTAAAATTTTGGGTAGACATAGTAAACTTACTACCATGAGAAAATAAGAACTCTGGTCAGTTTCTCTTTTCCTGCCCCTACTCCATCATCGCATACCCATCCATCCACCCAATATAGTTACATGGTTGATTGATTTTATTTGATTTGGATTGATTTTAATTCAATATAGTAAGTCCTCCCTTAACACTGTGGATATGTTCTTGGAACTGTCACTTTACGTGAAACAATGGATAAGCAGACCCATTTTACTAAGCAAAATTCATGTAAGCACAAGTTAAATTCCTATGATATAGTTCTGATCACAAAAACGTCATCAAATTTCTAAAGGTCTCAAACACTTCTAATATTAAATAATTTGTATTTTCCTTTCATCCGTTTAGTTTCCATCATGCTTTTTTTCAACTTAGGGTCACGGGAGACCAGAGCCTATGTAGACCAAGGACCAATCCTGGCAGGACACATTGACTACAGGGCACACTTACCCACACACTTATTGACACTCGGGCGACGTGGACATGCCTGTGACCCAATGTGCCTCTCTGGATGTGGGAGGAAGCGAGGGTACCCTGAGAACACCCAGGCAGGTGGGGAAGGTGTGCACACTCCACACAGGCAGCGGCCCTAACTGGGCACTGATTTTTTTTTTCTCATCAACAGTATAAAGAAATGATGTTGAATGAAATGACATCATTTGAAGACAGGCTATATTTATATTAGCATGTTTATGTTAGTGTTAAAGCTGGGCCGTATATCTTCAGCAAGGGAAAGAGAATGAAAACCCTATGCTCATATAGTCCTCTACCATCCCATACACATAAAATATGCTTTCAGTCACTGTGTTGATGTGGTTGTGTGGTAATTCCATAAATTCTACCATTTCTTAGTAAGTTTCTATTCATTTTTCTACTGATAATGACGTCGCTATGTCGGTTAATTTTCAACGGGATGCTGTATGTTGTGAAGTGTGTTGCTGCCACTGGATCCTGTAAGTTCTTCAAATAGTGTTGGGTTTTAATCTCATGCAGTGAGTTGCTTGACATCGATTATCAGCTGGAGCCTTTTGAGCCTTGCTTTTTAGCTTTCCAAGGGTAATCTCGGTTTTTATGCTAATTTAACTCCCTGCTAAGGTAGCATCCTTTGGATGACTCTGCTGAATGCCCTATGCATGAGGTGTCTGCCCTGATGAGTAGGATCACAAGTCTTTCTCAATTCTCAGCTGCAGGCATTGTTCTACCTACACTTTTTCTAGTAGTTCTTTCCTTGCTTTTGGCTAGTTTCTTCTCATATATGTGCAAATCAATATTCTGCTAGAAGTTCAAATGAATCTCTTTGATGCTCTTCAGGGCTCAGCATTTCTTCTTCCAGCATTATGCGCTCATGGTCTAGCCGCCTTCGCCTGGGTGGTTTCTGTTTCTTCTACTCATTCAGGCCAGCAGGTTCTATTCAGGTTTTACTTTGCTGTGCGATAGTAACTTTGAATAGGCTTGGATGGAGTATTTTAATATATTGCATTTAACTTAGTTAATAGTTCAATCTTTTGACTATGAGCTCAGTTATTTCAACCTATCTTGGTTTTTGTACTTAAGTAACTTATAGTTTCTTAAACAGCTTTTGTGAGAACTTAGTTGTTTTTTTAAAATTTTTTTAATATTTTATTTTAATTTATTTATTTATGTATACAGAACTGGGGTGCAGACCAGAGGTACAGAAGTGGTAAGAGGAATCACCAGTGATGGAGTGGGGAGCAGAACAGGCAGAATGACAAAGTATACTGCTGAGGGGAGCAGCAGGCGGGTCAGGAGAGGTCTGCCGTGCCCTGTGGATCACCACCGGGTCAGGGATCCAACACACACTGTGGCTAGCTTGCAGTGCTGCGTTTAACCCACAGAGTCACCAGGGAGGGCATGCAGAACTGGGGTACAGGCCAGAGGCTCAGGGGCGGTGAGAGGCTTCACCAGAGACAGAGTGGGGAACAGAACAGGCAGATTGACGAAGTACACTGCTGAGGGGAGCAGCGGGCGAGGTCAGAGAGGTCTGCCGCACAATGTGGTCACCTCCGGGGCAGGCGGGGATCGAACTCATGCGGAAGCGGCTTTAGATTCTCAGTGCTGTGCTTTAACCCGCTGCGGCACCAGTGAGGGCTCCCAGTTATTATTTTTTAAAAAATATTATAAACTGTACAGGTAAACGAAACAATTGAATATGTTTCTTTTCTTCTTAGCTATCATGGAAGGGGCAACCTTGGATGAAACCACTTGGAAAAGAAAGTTACCAAGTATAACAGGGAGCCATGTAAAATATAAGAGGAGACACACTTCACCTCAACTGTTATTATCCCAAAAGTCAAGTGGAAAAGACCTTCAATATCATCAAACTATGGAAAATAATGACCTTAAATTTAAAAGCCCCAAAAGAACTGTGCAAACAAAAAAATACCTGGGTGGGGTTGATAACAGTGATGCAGGATTCCAGGAACCATATTCAAAGGAAGGAATAAACTTTAAGAAAAGTTTGGAGAAAGTTGAAATTCATGATTCAAAATTAAAACCACAGAATTTGAAGAGTACTAACGGACTCAAAAAGTCCCTGGATAAAAGTGATACTATCAGTATCCCAAAACTTCAGAAACCATCTGAAAGAAGGCGATCCAGCCTCCCTAAACAGTTTTCATTTAAGGAAAAACCTACAATTAATGCATTGGGTCAGTATCATATATATAACTCAAAATCTATGTCCTTGAGTTCTTGAATTATCACAGAAATGATACAAATCAGTTAGGCAGTCATAGACATTTCAGTTGTCAATATTCTGGGTAAACACCACTTCTGGTACTTAGGATAAAGATTATAATACTGTGAATTTGATGGAGGTTCCTTTTTAGATATTCTCTTTTTGGGGAACCTAATTTTGGCTGATAAACTTATTCAATGATTAATTATGGTTATTCAGTTTCCCTGGGAAGTAGATGATCTGTTTTCCTTTGAAAATATTTATTTTGTAATTTATGTAACCACATGTATAAGAAAATGTTTGTGAAATTTTGGTTAGTATTCCATAATTTTAAATATTATCTCCATATTATTTCAGATATTATCTCTTAAGGACATGAGACTATCAAAAGGAAATAACACTCCCAAGACTTTATGGTCTTCTCAAAGATGAGCAGTGGTTTCTCAGTATAGGTTCCCTTCTATTTTCCTCACAGACATACTTCAGTAAACACTTCTTCAGGCCTTGGCTGGTTACTTAAGTTATACTTATTTTCTTTGAAGAAACGTGCTGACTTTTTAATTTAATTTAGCATTGAATTAAATGGCTCCTTGTATTAATGATTATTGGATGAAAAATTAGTGATTCTTGTACACTGATTATACACTGATGTATATACTCTAACTTGGTGGTAGAAGTTGGTGATATTAAATAGACAGAAAGCTGTTCATTGTGATTACTGAGGTGCAGCTGCTGCCTTCTGCTTCAGGGTTCTATTTCCCAGTTCTTTGTGCTTCAATAAGCATTAGAGCTCTGATTAGAGGAATAAGAGGTCGTAGGCTTAGCCAGTGAGCTGAAGAGGTCTCAAGAGACAGTAGTTATCTACCTTTCTGGTGTCACAATAAATCAAATCATATCACCTACCATGGCCATACTTCATTTTCTGTATCTAGAGCAGTGTGAAAGAGTATACCTGGATTAACTAACTTCTCTAAATAATTGGTGATAGTTGAGCATCTGTTAAATCTGACTGTCTTTTAAAACATGTTTAACCTTTCATTTTTTAAAATTGAGGTAACTTGTTTACATTTTTGTTTGTGTTTTAGAGGTATGATATAATTTTTTAAAATATACTTTTTTTTTTTAAAGATTTAATTATTTGTACATACAGAACTGGGGTACAGGCCAGAGGCTTTGGGGTGGCGAGAGGCTTCACCAGAGACAGAGCGGGGAGCAGAACAGGCAGATCGACGAAGTACACTGCTGAGGGGAGCAGCGGGCGGGTCAGGAGAGGTCTGCCACGCCATGTGGTCACCTCCGGGGCAGGCGGGAATCGAACTTATGCGGAAGCGGCTTTAGATTCTCAGTGCTGTGCTTTAACCCGCTGCGCCACCAGGGAGGGCCAAAAAAATATACTTTTTTTTACATCATTGTTCATTTTTATACAAAGTTTGATTTCTCAGGGATAGTCCCCATAAAATTCCTACCATCACCATCTTGTGCTCTTCCCGCCCCTGTTTTAATCCCTCCTCCTGCCCTGCTGAATGTCTCAGATTTATAATTTGCCTTTAGTTTTCTTTTTTTTTTTTCCATTCCTGATGCCTTATTTGGTTCCCATTCAATTGTTTTCCTTTTTTCTTCTAAATTAGGGATTGAAGTAATTTTAAGTTTGTAAGCACTACACAAAAGTAAAGCAGTGTTATATACTCTTCAGCTACTTTCCCCAAGTGTTAGGATATTGTATAACCACAGCACAATAATCTAAACCAGGAAATGAATACTGATATAACATGGTTTAGACCTTACTCAATTTTTGTTAGTCCCATAAGTGTTCTTTTTCTGTTCCAGGATCTCATCCATCATCATACAGTACATTGTGTTGTCATGTAACCTTAGTCTCCTCTAAAAAGGGATGATTTCTCCACCTTTCGTGACATTCATACTTTTCAAGAGTATTGACTAATTATTTTGTATAATATCCTTCATTTTGGGCTTTTCTTATGTTTCTTTGTGAATAAATTGGGATTATGCATTTTTGGTCAGAATAACACAGAAGCGATGTTATTCCCATCTCAGTGCCTCAAATTAGGAAGTTTCTGGTGGCTGTATGTTTCAGCTTCTGGGACTTTATGATTGTGAAGGTTGTGGACTGGTATGGTAGAATGATGAGAAGAGGAAGATTTCAATTTTGTTTGGAATTCTGGAATTTAGGTAAAACACATTGTTCTTTTAGTCTTTGAACTCATTCATTCTATTATATTCATACTAGGTAGCAGCATTGGCTGGGTTTCTGAAGCAGTTTGTTCCTCCAAACAAATACTTATAAATGTTTATAGAATTTCAGAACTCTTTTGTGTTGAATTATAAGAAAACAGGTCAGTTTATAGCTAATATGTATAAGATGTAGCTAATAGTGAGAGAAAAGTATTCTTTTATAAATAATTAGATGAAAATTGCTTTTTGATTACTATTATTATTCAATTATTGCTTAAAACACATAAATTCTGTTGCTGAATTTCCCTTCACATTTTGTGTTTTTAGGAAATGTCCTTGAAGCTATCAGTAAACTCCAAGAAGATTATATTGCTGCAGAAGAACTTCAATCTATCTTGCCTTCAATAGGAATTACTTTATCAGATAGAGAGTTCCAGAAGATTGTGACAAACACTGCTAGAAATGGTGAGAGATTGATGATATCAATTTTTTAGAGAAAATTGGGAACATTTATGGGATAGTACTACATGCTGGAAAAAGTTCTCTCAATTAGGAATGGAACAAGGTGGGTGATTCTAAAGATTCAGAAAGCAGAGCTTGCCTCTTAAGGCTGCCTGTCAGTGTCTCTGCAGATAGAAACGCACTGTCTTTTTTTTCTTTTCCTTAATGAACTTGCTCTCATGATGAAAAAATTAAAAGAAGAAGATTTAGAAAGATCAGATATAAAGCAAAAATTGGTTAAAAAATTTCCTAGGTGGCCCGGCCAAATGGATTGATTTGGGGGAGCAATGTCTGTTGTATCTCAGAATTGTTACAGCAAACTCTTACTTATGTCCCTCTATGGATATGCTTTCTAGTGTGGGACAGATACTGAGGGGGAATTATCCTGTTGTAAAAGATTAAGGTGGTAAGACCACAGTATCTAAGGGGTACATAAATCTCCAAGCAAATAGCATAGGGATCCAAGGAAAAATAACTGGAGACCCCAAAAATAACATAGCTAGGAATTTAGGGCTTAACACTCAAGGCAGGCCCTTTCCATGTAGATGTCAGAGGGTGTATACTAGTCATCAGCCTAAGCTCAAGGCAGAGTTTGAGAAATGGGTTTTTATTTTAGAGAAGGTTTTCTACCATCAAGTAAGAATTTTCATAGAAATTCACTTGAGGAGAGGGTACCAGAAACATTTTGGGAAAAGACTGACTTTAATATTAGAAGTGAAATCTTAGAAGCTGAGCAAGATTTCTTAGCTATAGCAAGTAGGAAAGATTTGTGAAAAACATCTAAAAGACTAGGTGCTACTATTTATGGAGTCCTTTCTGCTGCTGCTTGGGTTTGGCATGGTCGCCTAGCAGCTAGCCACTAGGGGTGAGCTGGAGAGCGTGGGGTCTCTCAGGCCAGTAGTATTGTTGGGGGTCTTCATAGATAGCACATTGCCTGGGTTTTCATTGGTGGTATGAGAAAGACTCCTCAACTTTCTCACGGCCCATCTCTATGGAGATGTTACCTTTCGCCTGTATTTAAAGAGAGTACTTGACTCAGTGCTCTCGCACTATGCTTTTTTTGTATCCTTGGTGCTAACTTAGTCCTTGGCACCAGGCATATTACCTGGTGAGGGCATATTACCTCAGTAACTGCTGAAATGAAATGAACTGACCTAATTTAGAAAGATTTATGTAACAAAACAAATGTGAAGGAGAGAGGATGGTGATGGAGTAAGTGATCAAGTAATTTTTTCATAGTTGTATTAAAATGTGAATTTTGGGCAAAAATACAAAAGACATAATCTAAATTCTTTATTTTACAGAAGATGGGATGATGAAGTTAGATGACTTTTTAAGTACTCTCTCTAAGGAGCAAAGTCTTCCTGAATATAATGGTAAGTAGGACATGTATTTTAAAAATGCTTTGGAGGGAAGCATAGTTAGGTTGAGAAGAATTAGGTTTAAAACCGAAATGAGTTTGCTTTTGGATAGATCCTTATTAGTCTTGAAACCCTATGGAAAGCTATTTACCAGTTTTAAAAAGACTTGCAATATAGGGGTAATAATAGCTGAGTTGCTTATTGGGTTGTTATATAGATTTTACAAACTGAAAAATGTCACATAAACAGACAATAATAATAATGATAACGAGGAGGCCAAATAGGCAATTTGTCTCATTGTTAGCAATTGATGGGTAACTAGATTTTAATTTTTTATAATTACACTATAAATAGTATACTCATTTGGTTTCCTTTATTTTAGTATTTATTTTTAAATAACAATTCTGTTGAGGTAAATTTACATACATGAGGCTCATCCATGCATTGATTTTTATTAAACTTACAGAGTTGTACAACTATTTTTTTAAAGATTTTATTTATTTATGCATACAGAACTGGGGTACAAGCCAGAAGTGCAGGGGCAGTGAGAGGATTCACCAGAGACAGAGTGGGGAGTAGAACAGGCAGGTTGAGGGAGTACACTGCTGAGGGGAGCAGCGGGCAAGACAGGAGAGGTCTGCCTCGCCATGTGGGTCACCTCCAGGACCTGGGGTTGAGCTTGTACTGAAGTAGCTGTGGCCAGTTTGCAGTGCTGAGTCCTAACTTGTTAGGCCACCAGGAAGGGCCAGAGTTGTACAACTATCACCACAATCTAGTTATTGCTTTATTTTTTATATACATATATAAAATTAAATATACAAGATTATTTTCAAAATACAAATCAAGTATACAAAATTATTTTGCTTTATTTTTATATACAGATATACAAGTATCAAATACACAAAATTATTTTTCAAAATACAAATCAAATATACAAAATTATTTTTCAGCAAGATTAAAATGAGAAATGAAGGATATTAAGAGTTCTGTTTTTATTTCCACCTAGTTAGCCATATACTAAAAAAGAAAGATGAACTTTAATTTTGCCTTTGATAGGAATTACTTCAATTACTTCAATAGAAATGCTTTATTTTCAGTGGTGACTAATGTCATTAAAGCCATCGATAAAATTAAAAATGAAAATGTTGATTTTGAGGATCTGAATATGTGTCTTCAAAACTTTGGCATTTATCTTTCTAAACCAGAATTTGAGAAGTTCACAGATTTGATTGAAGTTGATGGTAAGTGATGTTATTTTCAGGAAAACTAGATATACATCTGAAAAGAGTCAATTTACTATTTTTCCTTTAAATGATGAATTTATTATTTTTATTAGAAAAATATTAAAAATAAGTTAATATAGAAAAGTACAAATAACTCAAAAGTACAAAAAAATCAAAACCCATTATCCGCAAATGATCAACATTGATAGTCTTTTCAGATATTTTCCCCCTAGGGAATAAGTACAAAGAAAATAAAGTAAGATTTGTAATTTTTCTCTGAAAAGGTAGAAGTCAGGACAAAAGGCATTAAATAAAGCAAAAAGAATTCTTATTTTGTCAAAACTCATCATAATGAAGTGTCAGTGTCCTTATAACAAAGCCGCACCTCTCCTGAAAGGCACGTGCAGCAGTGAGTTAGACAAATGGTGGGGTTGTAGATGAAGTAAGAATGGCTAAGAGTTTATTATCAAAAAAAGAAGAAACTGTTATTGGTGAAGAGGTGCACAAAGAGAACCACTTTGTTGGGTGGGGTGTAAAATTGATGCGGCCCTTATGGAACTCGAAATGGGGATTCCTCAAAAAATTAATAGCTGAAGAATATGAGGACACTACTTGAAGAAATATATGCATCCCCTTTTCATCACAGTGTTTATTCACAACAGCCAAGAGTTGTAAGCAACCTAAATGTCCATTGAACAGATGATTAGATACAGAAGAGGTGGTGTATCTACACAATGGAATATTATTCAGCTATTATAAAAAATGAAATCCTGCCATTGGCAACGACATGGATGAACCTGGCATATACTATGCTAAGTGTAAGATGGAGAAAGATGAGCACCACTTGAAGATAAATACCATATGGAAGATAAATGAATAAACAAAATGAAACACAAAATATAAGAACAAAATGCTGGTTACTGGAAGGGAGTGAGTAGGGGAGTGGCTAAGTCCGATAAAAGGGGTGAGTTGTATGGTGAAGGACGGAAGCTATACTTTTGGTGACAAACATCACATATTATACAATGATTTATAATGCTGTATACACCGGAAACTGATGATATAAAATAATGTTACTTCAATAATTGTAAAAAATGGTTGTAAATTGATAATATTTGCAGTTATAGAGTTCATGATAATGTAGCTTCTAATTTTTCATAATAAAAAGTAAAAAGGAAATAAGCACGCATCTAAATTGTATGGAGATCTATGTGGAGAGCATAAGACTTCTGTTGAAATACACATAAATAACAGGAGCCTACTGTGTGACTGGTAGCCTGATGGAGGAGAAACCACTTGTTCCTAATCTTTGATCTTGTCTTTCCTTTTGGGACCTTAGAAAAAACAGTCGTGATAGCATGTTTAAGTAGATTTTTTTTTTTAAGATTTATTTATTTATGCATACAGAACTGGGGTACAGGCCAGAGATGTGGAGGGTGAGAGGATTCACCAGAGACAGAGTGGGGAGCAGAACAGGCAGATCCACGAAGTACACTGCTGAGGGGAGCAGCGGGCGGGTCAGGAGAGGTCTGCCACACCATGTGGTCTCCTCGGGGCAGGCGGAAGTGGCTTTAGCTTCTCAGTGCAGTGCTTTAACCCACTGAGCCACCAGGGAGGGCCATGTTTAAGTAGATTTTAAAAAACCATATAAAGTAACTCATTCTTCATTCTTATACATATCTTAGTTGTTGCAAGGTCAAGGCAAAATAATGTAAGTTAAAAGTTTAAAATGTTGGATGCTTCTGAAAAGCATATATATTCAAAGATATATTTATTTTGCATATAGAACTGGGGTATAGGCCAGTGGAGTAGGGGCAGTGAGAGGATTCACCAGAGACAGAGTGGGGAGCAGAACAGGCAGATTGAGGATGTACACAGCAGGGAGACAGGAGAGGTCTGCTTCACCACTTGGGTCAGCTCCTGGGGGGAGGGAAGGGGGGATCAAACTCCTGCTGCGGAGGCTGTGATAGCTTCGTAGGGCTGCGCTTTAACCCTTTGCACTACCAGGGAGGGCCCTGAAAAGAAGGCCTTTAATTGATTTTCTTTGTGTTTTCCAGTTTTTACTTTTTGCCTGTAAGTTGAATTGTTTTTTTCTTCTTATACTCATGTTTTTAGTGGTTAGTATTAGCTGATCTATACTTTGTTTTGCATAATTCAATATTTGTCACAATGATTTAATATTTGAAGATACTGAAGAAAATGTGTTCTTTTCCCTTTAGAAATGAACAAAGTGAATTTTAAAGAATTCATTGATACTATGATGAACAACATAGAGCGCTTGCCTGAAAAATTATGTATGTATATGAAAGCATCATAAGTTACACTTCTGTGGATCAAACAATTTGAAAAAGTTTTAGAAGAGTATAATATACTAAAAGAGCTAGTCATCAGAAAAGTAAAATGCCAGAGTTACTGCTGTTAAGTTTGACTTTAATCTTCTTGATTACGGAACCCTAAATCTAGAACAGCTTCCTTATACAAATGAATTGAAAGCTACCATAATCTTGACCTCTTATCCTCACTTACTGTAGTGAGGTTACTATTGAGAGATAGGACCATGTGTGTGATATTCCTTGGAGGGAAGATTTAAAGTGCCTTTCCACTTATGCCATCTAGTGACTATAGTGAGCACCAATCTGTAGAACTTAATGGTTGCAGCTGTTCTGTTCCAACATTTCCTGAGCCAGGGTGATAGTGCCCCGCTTTCTGTTAAAAGGTGAGTATGCTAAGATGAAAAAGATAGCTGTTGCCACTAAAAATCCCATTGTAAAGAAATGTAAGATTACATATGTATATTTTAAATGAAGGTAGTTTAAAAGTCAGGACCACCTCTAAATAATGTACAGTGTTGTAAACCTTTGTTACCTCAAACAAAAAAACAGGGTTAAAAATGGCACTGTATTATATTGTGCTTACATATTACACAATAGTAAATTCTAAATAACAGATATTTTTTAACCTTATAAATCGATTTTGTTTCCTATACAAGGGAACATAATAGATTAAAAGATTATTTGCTTTGTCACTCCATTTTTCCTAGAAATTTCAATTTCATGAAGATAAATTTTCTTAGCTCAGAGTAGTATAAAATAATATCTTATTCATATCTGAAGTTATAGTCTCCTAATTTCCCTCGCACCTGATTAGCTCTTCCTTAACAAAAAATTGACATGTAATGGACATATGACATCATGTTAGCTTAACATGTATGTGTGTTCATTTGCTGCACCTATATGTTGCAATGTGATTACTGCTATGTTAACTATCATCTCCACCCTATCCCACAATATTATTCCTTTGTTAGTGGTGAGAATAGTTAAGATCAGTCTCTTAGTGACGTTCAGGCATATAGACCAGTACAATTAACTAGAATCACATTGTGCATTAGGCCCTCAGAATTTGTCTTCTCATTGTAAACTGGTGCCCTTTGACCAATAGCTCCCTAATTTTCCCCCCTCCTGAGCCCCAGTAACCACTATTTTATGGTTTGTATGAATTTGACCATTTTAGATTCTGCATATACGTGAGATCAGGCAACATCTATTTTTCTCTGTCTGATTTATTTTACTTAACGTAATGCCCTCAAGGTCCATTCATGAGTCCCAAATGATAGGATTTCCTTGTTTCTCATAACTGAATAATAGTTCATTGTGTACTTATGACTCTTTTGGGTCTTGTTTCCGATCTGTTGCTGTTCTGCTGCCTCTTAAGTATTAGTATGATTCCAGACTCTATTCAGGCTCTTCCTGAGGAATCTTCCTGCTTTAATATCTAGCTCCTTTCAGTCCCTCTTTATAGCAAGCAATGCACATAAACATAATTCTTTTTCTTCAATAAATTTATTCTTTCCCTAAACTTTCTTCTCTGTAACTGACAACACTGCCCAACAGCCACTTAGGTCTCAACCCTTGGAGTTCTTCATGGCTCTAGCCCCCTTAACCTTTCATTTAGTTTCTTTATATTTACAGATATGAATAAGATACTATGTTACCCAACTCTGTGCTGATAAAATTTATCTCTGTGAAATTGAAATTCCTCAGAAAAATGACAGCACAAATAATTTTTTAAGCTATTATGTTCTCTTGTATAAAAGTCAAACAAAATTTTGAGTTACATTCTCAAAATACATCCAGTCAGTCCATTTTATAATTATCAGCAGAATGATCTTTTACCCATTTTATAATGAGATCATCTCATTCCCCTTTTAAATATCTAACAAAGGTTTTCTATTGGAATTTTAATAAAAACAATTTTTTCCCCCATGGGTTTCAGTGGTAGACTGAAGAGGAGGTAGGATCCAGGGAAAATTTGAGAGGGGGGAGGGAGATGTAGAGCAAATCTATTTAATTCTTGGTTTTATCAGTTGGAGAAACTTTAATTCCTGACAACTCCATTGTATAAATTTCTTGGACAAGCATATTGAAAACTTGTGTTTTATCTATCTTTTAGTATTATCTGATACTATTGAAAACCTCCAGAATCTCAGCAAAGAGACTATCGGTGCTTCTGATCTATGGAACATTCTGTCTAGTTTAAATAGAAATTTAAAAAAAGATGAGTTCCTAGCTTCACTGGAATTAGCAAAAACTGATGGTGCGTATTCCAAACCCTAAAATTAAAAATACATCTAAGTATGTGATATTATTTTTTATTAGTCTGTATTTGTCCTCATATCTTGCATCTGATGCACACGCACTGGTATATACACTTAGGAACTATAAATAAAGCTCAAATTATTTGGCTGGCTTATAGAAAGATGTTAGTATCTAATTCATTATTACTCCAAATTGATCAGATATGCATTGACTGCCTTGAAGTTGTGTAACATGTTATTGGAAAATATCATAGCCCAGTGAACACAGCTGGTATTCTTAGGAAATGCTGAGAGCATTTTTATTATAATACTACTTGGGATACCCATACTGTTTTGTTGCAAAAAGCTTTTATTTAATTTGTTAGGAAAACACCTGCTGTGGGGCTGCTACTTCTACGTAGCAAGTAAAAAGAGATTCAAGCAAAATGGAAGTTCAAACTAATACTATAAAACCAGTCATGTAGACTAAACAGTGTAAAATAAGACGCCATCATTTACAGCTAATATTCTCCATGCAGGAGAGAAGGGCGTACAGGACAATGGTGCACTTCCACTCCCTGGACAATGGTGCACTTCCACTCCCTGTTCTTAGCACCTTGATGTTACAAATGTACTTTGGACTTTTTTTGTGAAGAAAGTGTATGCACAACTATTCTAGCCAAAAGCATACTGCCTGGGGCCTTTGTCCAAGAACAGTTCTTCTCTGTGAACATTGCTTGCTTGCTCCATTAGTCTGTTTAATTGACGCTGGTAATTTGTTCAAGTGTGTTGATAGTTTTGTTTGTTGGAATATTTGCCGTGAGGTTAATGAATACAGATACCTGACAATAGGTACTTTCCCCTTCTCTTTTCCTCTGTGGGTAGGTAATAGTTGGAGAATCATTTGATGTTGGGAAAGTTGTTTTTTTTTTTTTCTTAAGATTTATTTTTTGTGCATACAGAACTAGGGTACAGGCCAGAGGCTCAGGGGCGGCGAGAGGCTTCACCAGAGACAGAGTGGGGAGCAGAACAGGCAGATC